TATCAAGAGGATCAACCTTTGGCAAAAATTTTTTGTTTGCTTTTAGAATCATGGATTCGGAGTTGACACTCCCGTTGAAGAGAAGCTTACTTATTTTATTGTTCTAAAGCAGCAATTCTTAAGGGGCTCTTGAGGTCAAAGCTATTTTTTCATAATAATAACAAGCTGTAATTTGTCTTTTTCACCCTCATTCTCTCATGTGTGTACACTACAGTTTACCAGAGCTTACATTCTGGGCAATATCACATAGATTAAATGCAGAAGCAGATAGAAACACAACTGTCTTCCATTAAGCCAGAGATTCATAAACATGAAAAACAATGTCACTCTTCACAGATTTTTTAAAAATGTATGGTTATTTATAATTAAAAATGTTTTTTATGCTGGCCTGTGATGTGCTTACTGTTATTTTGAAACAAGTTGAATTTCTAGTACAGTAAATGACAACAATACAGTCAAGTAACCTAGGGAAACAAACATTTTTGAGGGTCCTCAATGATTTTTAGGAATGTAAAGAGGTCACAAGACCAAAAAGTTTGAGAACGTTTGCTCAAAAGTGATACTCTCCAACATTGGCTAGAAGAAAAAGTTTCCACTCTGACTTTGCTGTGTTCCCTATGTTGTTACAGATTGCCCATCATAGTGATGTCAGAGGACCTCAATTCGTCTCAATTACTTTTCTAGTTGATTTACTTTTAAAACCATGTCTCATTTCTAAATAAAAAGGAATGATATTTCTTACCTGTGCTCAATAGTTTCCTGGGAGAGGAAGGGATCTGGAAGGTTTGAGGTCCCTTTCTTTTCCTGAGCTGTGTAGATGGCAGAAGGTGGCAGCAGCCCCTTTAGCAGCTGAAGCTGGCAGCCAGGAATGCAGAAAGCATTGGAAAACAGAGCTTGCTGGTCATCTGATCTATAGCCGTCTGGGGGAGGAGGAGACCAAGCGATTGGGAGAAAGGAGGAAGGAGGTGGAGGGAGGAGACTGTTCTGGCACGCCTTGAACCCGCCTTCAAATGTGGGCTCTTTCCAAGGGCAGTAGAACTGGAAATAAAGTCAGAGAATTTGCGTACTTCTTTTAATGTAAAATCACTATTTTAATGAGATAATTTCTGCTGTAAAAGTTGGAGTTGTGGCCCTTCCAAATCTTTTGCCTTTCTCTCAGAAGTACTGTACTTTCAAGCCCTTTTAAAAAAGCACCTGCTTGGTCAATTAGAAGCATCTTTTCTCACTTTAATCTCTCTCTATTTTGAGATTTTCTATTCACACTTTAGCACAAAACTTTTCCCTTATCTTGTGGTGCTGAATAATCAGCCCTATTAGAATAATCCCTATAATGTAATAATAGCACCTGAAATGTAATTTTAAAAAAGCAGAGTAAGGTATCACAGCCTTGAAAGTAATTAGCAGAAACAAAATTCCCCGGACAATTTTTTCTTGAACACGTGCCAAATGGTATTACCGTGCTAGCAAGGAAAGTAGCAAAGTGACTTTTGGTTTCTGCTTTTTTGGCCAGTATAGAGCCTATATGGAAACAGAGGTGTTCTAGAGTTAGAAATCAAATGCTTCCATAAGCAGCTAGTTGAGTTTGGTTTATTTTTTGTTTTTTAACAAAATAGGGTTTTCATTTTACAATGTTATAAAAACATCATGTCCACTGCAGTGATTACAAAGGAAGTCTGTGGTGAGATGGTCAGAGGTGCTTGGTGCAGAGACTACTAGAAAAAGAAAAATCATGCATTTAGGAAATATATGGTAAGAATACACACATGGTTGAAATTGAAGTAACAGATTTCCATCCTCCAACTGTAGTGTTCCATATAGCTAATTAATACGAAAGCATGAAATAGAGTCAAAGAATGATCAGAAGCAGAGCACCAAACAAGTTAATTTTATTATTTTTATTTTTTATTAGAAAATTTTTTTAACGTTTATTCATTTTTGAGAGACAGAGAGAGACAGAGCATGAGTGGGGGAGTGACAGAGAGGGAGACACAGAATATGAAGCAGGCTCCGGGCTCTGAGCTGTCAGCACACCAGAGGCGGGGCTCAAACCCTTGAACCGTGAGATCATGACCTGAGGCGAAGTTGGATGCTTAACTGGCTGAACCACCCAGGCACCCCCCAGGAACACGTTAACTTTAAATGGCCCATCGCCAATGATTTTTCTCCAACTGTAAAGATGTAAAGTGCACAATTTTCCCTTTTCTTAGTTTTGGGATAAACTTTTTTTTTTTTTTTTTCTGATACAGAGCAACCCAGATGGCTTCATGTCTTACCTACTTCGTAAGATTATTTGTAAAGATTAAAATGAGATGATGATAGCCCTTTGAAAATTTTACTGTTTTTTCCCCTTTTATTTTTATTTGAGAGAGAGAGAGTGAGGGAGGGAGGGAGAGAGAGGGAGTGAGGGATGGAGAGAGAGAATCTTAAGGAGGCTCCACACTCAGTACAGAGCCCAGTGTGGGGCTCGATCACACAACCCTGGGATCAGGACCTGAGCTGAAATCAAGAGTCGGTCGCTTACCCTACTGAGCCACACAGGCGCCCATAAAGCACTAGACAACTATAAAACTTTCCACACACTCTCATTTCTTACTCATTTAGTTTTTACAACAGAGATGACTATTGTTTTTCTTAGAGAGATAGTGAGTGAGCAGGGGAGAGGGAGAGAGAGAAACCCAAGTAGGCTGCATGCCCAGCCTGGAGCCTGACCTCATGACTGTAAGATCATGACCTGAGCAGAAATCAAGAGTCAGAGGCTCAACTGACTGAGCCACCCAGGCACCCCAATGGAGATAACATTTTAAAAATAAAATGTCCATGGTGTTCTCTTAATTTGGTGTAAACATTTATGTATTAGGTGGAATTATTTTTCCTGGAGGTACTTTAAGAACTAGATAACTACCTCTTTAGATACCATACAATGTGAAGGCTAGAAGAGGAATTGGATTTAATAGGCTATTAAAAATAATAGTGACAATAATGTTAACAATGCAGAAGAGTGGGCAACTTTATAATTTGCCAAGTAAGGGCATTAAAAATCTTAAAAGTCTTTATATTTTTATTTTATGACAGACCATTTTAACACCAAAAAAACTAGGAAGGACATGTATCAGACTAAAGGACAATTCTTTCAAGTGAATGCTGTGGCTTTATGAAAAACTCATTACTTTTTCCCCCTCATTTTACCACACATGGGGAAAATTGCAACACAGATTGCTATCAGTCCTCAGACGGTGATAGGGATTCCAAAAAGACTGTCAAAAACTGCACCCTAATCATCTAGTCGATTAAGTAACTTCTATTTCACAATATTAGCAAATCAAATTAAACAAACTGAGTACCTATTTTCTGGGAACTTACTTAAAACGAATGGCTTTTTCACAAACAGCCGACAAATTACACACACACACACACACACACACAAACACACACAAACACACACACACACACACACACACACAACTCCCGAGTCTTTATGACAATTAACATTTAGGTAAGCCAAACGGAAAAACCATGTTAAGTTACATATAGTTCGCTAAGGTGTGAGTGTGTGTAACTGGCATTTATTAGGGGTTATTGACCTTTGTTTTATGAGGTCATATTTTTCCCCTTCCACATCAAATAACTGGGCATAACTTTAGAATGTCTATCTTTGAAATTGCAGGTCAAAGTCACCACATGAGAGCACTCATGAGACTAACTTCCAAGTGCATGGGCCACGTATGTTACAAAATTTTTTGAAATCATATTTCAAAATATTGACTAAACCTACCAGCATATCAAGAAAGCAATCTTCCAAAAGGGTGTGATTCTGAAAGTGTGGTTGCACCAAAGAAAAGGAAGCGAAGGAACGGAGGGTCTGGGTCTGGAAGTTTCGCTCGAGAGCCAGCGGGAATTCAGCTTTAAACGCCTCCTTCAAACGTGCCACCTGGGACAGGATGTAACTTTTACTTGAAAGGTAGTGTCAGGGGTCCCATGTTCCTTTACTGAGATTCCAAGCAGGTGAGACACACCCCAGCCTCTCTTGGGCAATTCTAAATTCATGTTCTTTCTTGAGAGACTAGACTCAGATTCTTCCCACATTCCCTAAATACACACGTGGAAGCAAGGGTAGATTTTTATTTCAGAGACTCCAAGTCCAGGGGGACAGCGGGAGAGCAATGGAAGAAAGCCACCCCTTCGTGAAGTGCGCGAGGGCTTCCCCCCCCCCGGCGCCCCCGCCCCCTCGCCCCCTCGCCCCCACACCCCCTGGCCAGGCTCGGGGCTGGCCTCCAGGGCGGCTGCGCGGTCCATCACGTGACCCTTGCGCTGCCCGCTGGGAGGCCGTGGAGTCCGCGCACTCGCATGCGCACTCGCGCGCACTGCGCCTCCTCAGTCCCATGCTTTTGCTGAGGAAGAAGGTGCGGACGCCATGTAGTAGCCCAGGCTTGGGGTGGGGCTGGAGGGATGCGCCCTTGAGAGTCTGAAACAGCGCAGTAAGAGGATGGGCGCTTCCTCTCGGGGACGTTAATGGGTCTGAAACACAACTAGGGAGGAAAGGCAGCGGGGAGGGAAGTGAGAAAAAAAGGCAGGTGAAAAGGTCTGAGGGGCCCACTGGGCGTTGAGAAGAAAGAGAAGACTAGGAGAAGTTGCGTAAGACACAGGGGCAGTGCCGTGTAATGTCTAGGGCACCAGAGCATTGGATTGCATCGTGGGGTTTGTCACAGGAGCACTTCCAGCCTCTTGGGGCAGCCCTGTGGAGTCCGCTGGGACCTAGGTTCTGACAGAAAAACGGACTTGTTTTTGCACAGGCACAGTTACCTAGCTCTAGAAGTTTTCATTTCATCGATATGCACATTCTGTTACTCTGGGAGAGCAGAGAAGAGGTGTAGAAGGAAAAGGGAAGAGAAAAAGGGGAAGGGAAAAGAGAACGGCTTTCACGTTGGCTTCTCTTTTCGAACTTCTCAAGGCAAAGTGAGCGCTACTGGGCATGCGTAATATTGTCTGCGTATTATCGTTACAGCTCTTGACGCCTAAAGGTGCTGGAAGGAGTGTAGGAGCGCTGTAGGGAATTTACCAAAAGGACATCTTTCTCTATTATTTGTTGTTGCTGCCTTTGTGTCTTATTTGTGTGAGTATGATATATGACTAAGCAAACATTCATTTCAATTATCCAGGACCAGAGTTTAAAGCAAAGTAAATTGATAGTTGAGTATCATCTCCTGAGATGTAGAGACTCTCCCGTTGTAGTTGTTTACATTTTTCGTTAGTTTAAATGTAATCTTTCAGATTCCTGGAGAAGTGATCTTCAGAATTCATGGGGAAGTAATTTAAAAGGAAAGTTTGATGCTATATTAAGGTAAGATAGGACAGTAGACACTCAGGTACCAAGAGGTTGGTTCTAGTCTGGCCCAGTTTTACTTGTTTGAACTCGGTCAACGGTCTCTGCTCCTGTTTTCACATCTGTGAAAAATGACATTGGATTAGATGAACTATAAGATATATTTCAATGTTAAGATTTTTTTGAAGGTAGAAGAATCTTAAATTCTGGCAGAAACAAGGCAGAAGTGCCAAAGAGACTAGTTTGGCTGATCCTATGTAGAGGGAGTAGATGAAAATCATGGGAACGATAGATTGGCTGCAAGTGATCTAGGACTTTGGATGCCATTCCATGGAAATTGAATTTGTTCTGGAGCAATGCATAGTGGGAAGGTTTTTGAGTTGAAGAAATACGGTAATCAGAGTTTTGAAAGATGGCCCAAATAGCAGTTGATAGGATGGGATAGGGAAGGGAGAAATTGAGTTGTTCAGATAAGTGACAGATAATGACATCCTAAATTAAATCAGCAGGACTGGAAAGAAAGGGGAAGATTCAAAAAAGCTGTAGCATGCAGTTTGTACTTATATTTGGCATTCCTCTAAACTTTGCAGCCCTTGCCTCCAGAATATGATGGCGAGTCAAGTTGTAAAACCTGATACTAGAAATTGCAAGAGACCAAGAGAGCTGGAGGTAATCTATATGCTCCTGGAGCCTTAATCTTTGATTTTATTTTTTATACTTCTCAAATATTTTCTAGTTCAGAAAATTCTGTTGATCAATGGAATTTAATGTTTTCATACTCCCAGGACTGGGGTTGTCCCAGCAGGAACTATGTTGACTCTAGCTGCTTTTTCATCAACTAGTATAGGCCTTCGAGAAACTATTGGGAGACTTCTTTGTTCTAATTCGTGATGTAGAGACAGAAATGGGTTCATGTTCATGCATATGTGATACTTGGGTTTTACATAAGTATTTTGCTATAATAAGGATACCTAGGTACTATAGTTGCTGATATTTTAAATTAAGAGCATTGTATCCTGCTCTTCTTCACTACTACCTCTGCCAGTTGATCTGTTTGCATTTGGAACATTATTTGCTTCCTTAAAGATTATGTAATCTTGCATAATTTTGCCAGCATTTGGCTATTGTCTAAGTGAAAGTTTTACTATATTGCTATGGGAATATCTACCGGTGCAAGATACAGGAAACTTTTTCCATCAAGGGATTAAAACCATAATCAAAGTCTAATGTAAAACCAAAGTAAAATTTAGTATGTTGAACAAGGTGCTTGTTAGGCCTAAAAGTTTTCTTGATAATAAAATTTTAAATGGCTGATTAGGACATGAGCACATATAATTTCTAGCATGTGTGCTTTTTTATCTGAAAGATGTTTTATTTGCCTTTTTGGACAGCAGAATGCATATGTCCTAAGGATCTTGTTGACTGTTTATCTATTTTCTTTACTTTCTTCTATTAGCCTCAAATGCCAGATAGTCCACATCTGTCCTCTCTTGGAAAATCAGATTCCTCTTTGTCTGAAAGCTCTGGACTATTTTATAAAGATGAATCCCTGGAGAAAGATTTGAATGGTGATATATAAAATGCTTATATTTCTATACATTGATTTTATAATACAGAAAATTTGTTACAGTTCATAACTTGGTGATTTTTTTTGAACAGACATGAGCAAAGAAATTAATCTAATGTTGTCTGCATATGCAAAGATCTTAAGGCAAGTACTTATAGCATAACCTCATGAATCTTTATCTTAGAAATAATTTTTTCTGGAAACTCTGTAATAGGAAGTTTAATTCAGTGGTTGCAGACCTATCCAGCAATTGTAATTTCAGTTTTTTTATTCTATCTCATTTATAATAGATTAATTGGTTATTTTTGAAGATTAATCCCAACTTTTCCACTAAACATCCCTTGTTTTGTTATTACCAGAGCTAAATATTAGGCTGGATATATTTTGGTCTCTAATTAGATGATATAACATTTAACATGTTACAAAAAAACTTCTTTGAGAAAACTGTCATTTATTGAAGTTAATGATAATAAGAGTGATATGAAATATAAAATATTTATGAAATATTTAAATATTATGTCTATATATTTGAGGACTGACTGAATTTAAATATTTTATTGCTCTGAGATTATCAAGCTTATTAGGTATTTGTTTTTTAAACTACTGGACAATCATAGTATTCGGATGATGGTTTGTGTGACTGTTAAAATAATGTATGTAGTTTAATATTAGAATTATAATGTAAGATACATAGTTTGCCCTGTCAGGAGACTTTGAATAGTTAAAAATATTTATGTGACTAATTTAACTTTTATTGAAGTGTTTGTAAATTAATGAAGTTTTTTAATGTGCAAAGCTATTTAAATGAGTAGCTAACTAGTATAGCCATAATAGAAAACATCACTATAATAGTGTCACTAGATGTTATTACTATTTAGTTTAACATAAAATTTTTTTTCCTCATTAGTGAGAGAGCAGCAGTAGATGCATCTTATATTGACGAGATAGATGGACTCTTCAAAGAAGCCAATACTATTGAAAACTTTCTAATACAAAAAAGAGAGCTCCTGAGACAGAGATTTACAGTGATTGCAAACACACTGCACAGATAAAATTTGTACTTAAAATAAGCTGAGAATTTAAGCCCATTGTTGTTGTATTAAGAGAATGACATTTATGCTCTGACACCTCTCTAGTTGTTAAAGAAACTGTGTACCTTAAACATAGAAGGGGAAACTGCTTGAATTTCTTTTCTAGATTTAAAAGGGGCTTTATGCTGGACAATAATATGAAGTATGTACCTTTTTTTTTGAGGCTTAAATATTTGGCATATTTCATAAAAGTGTAAATTATTTAAATTGTATGTAGGTTCTTTTTTTTTTCCTTAAACCTCCTAGCATTTCTTAAATTTCTAAAAGAGGACTCAATGAGTTAATTTGGTAATATGTAACAATATTGCACTTTTTCTTTGCAGTACTCTAAGTAGCAGATAGGTAGCTGTGGAGATAGTTTTAAAATGTTTTTCATGGTCAACATCATAAAAAAAACAAAACCCAAAGATAATTTGTCCAGTGTCACAATATGTAGTAAGATATAGCTAAGCTATTGCTATTTAATGTTACCATTTGATTATTTTCTCCATTAGTTACAATATATGGCTAATAAAAATTCTTGGTTTAAAATTATTTTCTTGTGGTAAAAGTGATAAAATAAAAACCAGAAATTACTAATCAGAACTTTATATGAGTTGGCTTTTTTACATATCAACCTTATCAGTGGTGTAGTTAATAAATTATACTTAGAAACCTTAGCCATTGTGTGATATGGGATAAAAGTTAGTGATCCACGAGTAAAAATTCGCCAAACAAGAAGACAGCCTTGGTAAGTCATTTCAAACCTGTTATGATTCATTAATTGAATTTCAATTAGAGGATCTCTAATACTCATCTAGCTTAAAAAAAAAAAAAAAAACAACAACCTATAAAAAATGTTCAAAGGTATTGCTATGATTTTATTGAAAACTTTTAATATGTTATATAATTATGTGTGATAACTATGTTAATCAGGTTTTTAAAAATCACAGCACACATTTTTCAGTCATATAGATCATTCAATCTATTTTATATCTATTTTACATATATAAGCAATCACAAATTTGAGCATATTTATAAACAGCACCACAGGGAATTTGATATTCTTCTGGTGGACAGCAGGTGTGCCTTGCTGCCTTGTAAATGTAAAATCTAATTTGACTGCCAGAACAGCAATCAGATTGCTATTTTAAGGCAAATATACCACATAACATAAAAGGATTGAAAACCGTAAAATAAAATGTTTACTAAAAATATGGGTTAGGTAGAAAAAATTATTAGATTTGTGGAGGGATATGCTAATGACACAGGATAGTTTGGAGGTCAGTGAAGTAACTCTTAGAAATGGAATTTTAAAATAACAGTGTAGCCAGAAGACTATATTTGAGTTGATATGACATATCACCTGGATTTTGAGTTAGTCTGTTACCTTACAGAATTTTTTAATGTTCTAAAAACAAAGATGTCTCTACTGGCACATCATAACTAAGAAATGTTCCTGAGTTACTGTTTTCTAAACATTAATTACTATTGAGAAAGATAAGGTTAACAGATTGTTTCAGAGTACATTTCATAATATACTTGTTATATCTTGTTAGTGTCACCATTGTCAAACATCAGGGTCTTTCCTGTGCAGTTCAGAGAATTGGTCTGATCATTTCATTTGGTATGATTAAGACTAGGGTGCCTGGGTGGCTCAGTCGGTTAAGCCTTTAACCGACTTTAATCTTGATCTTGGCTCAGGTCTTGATCTCAGGATTGTGAATTCAAGCCTGGTGTTGGGCTTTGTCTTGAGCATGGAGACTCCTTAAAGGAAAAAACAAAAAACACACCTAGGGAACTGATTTTTAGTCAAAATGTGTTTACTAGGATAAAAGTTCCTAAAAGCCTAAATAAGACAGATTTTTATTAAATTTTGATGTCTTTGGTACCATCCACATAAGCAAGAATAATTCTGTGAATAATTAACAACTGGAGATAGGCTATTCCAGAAATACCATTGCCTTTTAATTTACACTTCTACTATCACTCATTTCAATAAAATTCCACGTGTTTGTAAATTACTTGTTACTGGTTACCAATAAAAATATATATTGAATATCTTTGTACGTCATACTCTGCTAGGCATTGTGGGGAATACAGCATAGTTTAAGATACTTTTTGTTCTCCCTTCTGACATTTGTAACCACTCCTTGAAATACATTTACATGTCTTTGGTAAGAAAACATGATAAGTAACTGTTAAAAAATAGGGGCGCCTGTGTGGCTCAGCTGGTTAAGTGTCTGACTTTGGCTCAGGTCATGATCTTACGGTTCGAGAGTTTGAACCCTGCGTCAGGCTCTGTGCTGACACCTTAGAGCCTGGAGCCTGCTTCGAATTCTGTGTCTCCCTCTCTCTCTGCTCCTCCCCTGCTCATGCTCTGTCTCTCTCCTTCAAAAATAAATAAAAACATTAAAAAATATATATATATATATATATATTTCTGTGCAGTACTAGTTAATTCCTTTTAGTTGGAGTTACTAGAAGGCATTTGGCAAAGGGGTCAGAGAAGTAGTAAAATGGGTTTTTGAAAAGAAGGAGGGTATTTCAGGCAGGGGAAAGTTTGTTAAAATGGCACAGAAGAACAAAAACACAAACACATGGTATGTTGGATAGGCTTTTTCCTGAACTGAGAATTCACAGAAGGGAATAGTGTATCATCTAAACCACTAGAGAGGAGGGATTGAGTCTTGTTTTCTTATATTCTCAATTTGTAGCACAGTATTTGATACATTGGTGCTCAAAAGTGTTTGTTAATCATTATACATTAGGGCATACCTTCACAGGGCCTTAATCATACTAGATTATCAGAAAATGTCTTGTAAATTAAATGGAAAAGAAAAGGAAGGATGATATGGTACAAAGCAGGCAGACAATGGAAAGGTAGGTTGTGGCCTGATTGTAGAGTCCTTTATTGACAGACTACATTTGGACTTTATTCTGTAAGGACAGAGATGTGAACCTTTCAGAGGAGAGGAGCATCATAATGAAATGGAACCCATGGATCAAGGGGCTTCATTGTAATGTGACAAGTTTAAAAGAGGAAAGTTTAGGAAGGGAGACCGCTATTGATGGTCCAATTTCAGAATTTCAAACAACTACTTATCATAGGTTGGGATACTTCTTGTGGAAAGGAGACTAAAAGTTTGCAGGCATCTGGAAGCCCTGCCCCTTTACCACCACCTCCCTGCCTCCTGCCCGCATTCCCTCCTTTCCTGTCAGTGAGCCAAAGACAGACCAGGAAGTGAGTGTGAGGTTTTGGAAATCACAGATCTGTTGCTACTGAATGTAATACCAGAATGTTTTTTCAGATCTTTCTCCATTTTGTCAGCAACCTTTCTACCATTGCAGTGGGTTTCCTTTCTGTGATGATACGTTGGATCTCAGGTAAGGGATTCGCCCCTTTCTCCTCCCCTTCTTCCTCTTCTGCCTGCTCAGGCTTAGAACTCTGTGCCTCTTTCCTGAAGAATACTGGGGGCTTCTGAACCTTTTCACTCTGTGTGTAGCAGATACAGACAGCAACACCACAGAGCTGGGAGTTACGGAAGGCTGAGTCGATTTGTTTACTCGTCAGGGAAACAGCCTTTCGTTTGCATACTTTACATAACATGGGGCAGGATTCATGGTTTAGGGATTCTGTTGTGTATGCACTAGGAAGAATATTCACTATTTAGACCTGTCTCAATTGAAAATCACCGCTACACTTCCTAATATAAATGTTTGTTTCTTTTATTTGCATTCTGGGGGACTGCCTTAAAACCTCTGGTTATTGTTTTGTAGCTTTCTATTATAGCTACTATTGTTACATGATTTTCTTTCTTTCTTTTTTTTTTTTAAATTTTTTTTTCAACCTTTATTTATTTTTGGGACAGAGAGAGACAGAGCATGAACGGGGGAGGGGCAGAGAGAGAGGGAGACACAGAATCGGAAACAGGCTCCAGGCTCCGAGCCATCAGCCCAGAGCCTGACGCGGGGCTCGAACCCACGGACCGCGAGATCGTGACCTGGCTGATGTCGGATGCTTAACCGACTGCGCCACCCAGGCGCCCCTGATTTTCTTTCTTGAAATTGGCTGATGCTGAGCTAACAGAAATCATACCGATATGCCCTAGAAAATTGTTGAACAATTTAGTGGTTGCAGTATGCAAAGCAATGTGTTAGGTACTGGAGTGGGAGTAAAAACAAGTGACTCTGTACTCAAGGAATACCACTAATAAAGTATATTCATCTTTATTGCACAAGACAGAGTAAGGTAAGTGCCCTAACAGAGCTGAAATAGATGCTGTGTGAGTTCAGACTAAGGAGAATTAGTTCTTGCTATAGGAAATGGGAATGTTGTGTTTATGAAGTGGGTGACATGCGTACTGAATCCCGAAGGATGAATAGGGTAAGTGAATTTCACCTGGAGGAGATAGGAAATACCCTAGTTGAAGAGACAGATATAATTTATTTATTCTTGAGAGAGAAAGACAGAGTGTGAGCGGGGGAGGGGCAGAGAGAGGGAGACACAGAATCCTGCCCAGGTTCCAGGCTCCAAGCTGTCAGCACAGAGCCTGATGTGGGGTTCAAACTCCCAAACCGCGAGACCATGACCTGAGCTGAAGTCAGATTATTACCTGACTGAGCCACCCAGGTTCCCTGAGAAGGGTATAATTATGATGAGGAGAAGAAAATAGGAAGTGTTTTAGTTTGGCTGGAACAGAAGACCTTAGTGCGGGGGCGGGCAGGGGTAGTTCTGGACAGGTAGGTTGGTGTGAGCCTGTGCAGTGCCTTCAGTGGTTGGCCAAGTGGTTTAGACTTTACTTGGTAGACAGTGAGGAGTCATTTCGGAAGGCTTTTGGAGGATTATATGATACAATCAGATCTGTACTTAGATTAATTTAGTAGCAGTGCTTCCCAACCTTTTCCACATGATACCATGCATAGAAAGTGATAATATTGGGGTGCCTGGGTGGCTTAGTTGGTTAAGTATCCAACTCTTGGATTCGGCTCAGGTCATGATCTCATGGTTCATGGATGGAGACCAGCATCAGGCTCTGTGCTGACAGCCAAGGAGCCTGCTTGGGATTCTCTCTCTTCCTCTCTCTGCCCTTCCCCCGCTCACGCACGCACGCACACGCTCTCTCTCAAAATAAATAAATAAACTTAAAAAAAAAAGAAAATGATAATAACTCTAGCTCACACTGGAGTAAATTGGGATCTAGAGCTCCATGAGCTGTTTAAAACTGGAGGCAAGTGGCCTGGAGCCTCTGGCCATCCCACCTGTTCGGAGGCTCTGGCATAGGAGATAGCTTCCCTCTCTAATTTCATCTGATTAAGAGGCTGTGATAATATCATCTAAGAGGTTGTGAGGGCCTATATTAGGACAGTAGAAAGAAAGTGACTGATATGGCAAGATAAGTGGAAGCATCAATGCTGATGAGGACAGGTTTGGTCCAGAAGAAAAATTGGAGGTGCTGCCCCGGTTGCGTGGACACAATAAAAATCCTTACAAAGGATTTGCCCCCAGAAACCCTTGTAAACTGAGCCCTAGTAATTTACACCTACCCTATATCATCCCCTTAGCATTCTCTTCCTGGCTCTGTCCTGGTATACTCAGCAGAACTTAACCACTTAGTGAATGTGAGGGGACAGCGAAGAAGAGGAGTTCAAGGCCCACAGAGATTTTGAAGCTAGGTGATTTCGTATGTGGGAAAAATTGATTTAGAAGGGGGAAAATGAAGAATTCTCTTTTGACATGTTGAGAATCGTCTGCAAGAAGTACTTAAGGGACTAGATGAGACTACTGAGGAAGTGTGCTGACATTAAAGAGTAAAGATCCAAGATCAGACTTTAGGAACACACTCCTGAGGTGATAAGGGGAAGAGGGGCTAATAAAGGGAGTTAATAATGTTTGCAAATGCTCTACTATCATTATATTTAGTTATGACAACCAACATAAATAGGAAGAATTACCTTTCTTTTATCCCCACGGCACCCCCATTTTATCATTGAAAAACTTGAGGCTCAGAGTGGTTAGTAACTTACCCAAGGCTGTCAGCTAATAAGTGAAGCTAGCAATAAGCAAACAAAGAGGGAGCAGGGAAGTTAGAAAAGTGCAGTGTCTCAGGAACCAATAATAGAAAGGGGTTTAAGGAGGTCTAGAACACAATATCCAATGTTGTGAAAAGTCTGAAGAGTATATAATAAACTGCCAATAGTATGCTATGGAGTACAGAATGGATACACACATAAACTTTTTCTAAAATGTAAAGATGTTTTAAATTATTGAATCTCTATTCAGACCATTGTCCAATCAGCGTATTCAATGTAATTCTACTTAAGTGAGAGGAGTAAAAACTGACCTCAGGATATTTATGTTAATAAAAGAGGAGAGTGAGATGAATATGCAGAATATAAATAAAAGTAGTACGATAAATAACCAAGGGTTTCCACCTTCCAGATTTGCAAAACATCCTGTTTATACCTCCACTTCCAATAGTGTGGTTCTCATATTTTAGTGTGACTAAGAATACTTGCTTGCTATACCCTAGAGATTCTGATTAGGTCCAAGATGAAGTCCCTGAATCTCCATTTCAGCAGTAATATCTATTTCTGTTCCAAGTAGTTCTCAGACTATACTTTGAGAAACAGTGCTCAAAATGTGGATTACAGTATAAATGGTCTGTTTGTTTATTAGGCAGTGAATTCCTTTACATCAGGTTTAAAAATTTTTTTTTAAATGTTTATTCATTTTTGAGAGGGAGACAGAGAGCACAAGTAGGGGAGGAGCAGAGAGAGAGGGAGACACAGAATCTGAAGCAGACTCCAGGCTCCAGTTGTCAGCACAGAGCCCAATGAGGTGCTCAAACCCATGAACCATGAAATCATGACCTGAGCCGGAGTCAGACTCTCAACCGACTGAGCCACCCAGGTGCCCACATCAGGTTTTATTTTTTAAGTCTATCCATTTATTTTGAGAGTGTGCATGAGCACATGTGAGCAGGGCAGAGAAAGAAGGAGAGAGAATCCCAAGTAGGCTCCATACTGTCTGCATGGAGCCCAACATTTGGCTGGATCTCACAAACCATTAGATCATGACCTGAGCTGAAATCAAGAGTCAGACTCTCAACTCACTGAACCACCCAGCCATCCCTACATCAGGTTCTAATACTTTTTATCCCTTACCAGTTACCCCTTTGTTGAATGAATACATAATTCAAAGGAAGATGATGTTACATCTTGTTGGATTGATTGTTAAAAGCTATGGAAATAATGATGGCATTTTTGAGTATTTACTATTTTCTAAAAACTTTACATAACTTAACTCATTTATTATTTATAGCCATGTTATTATCCTCATTAGAAAGGTTATTTATTTGGAAAACAGCAGGCCAGGATTTGAACCCTAGCAATCTGCAGCCAGGCAGGACCTGGGCCAATACTCTTCTTAAATATTACAGTATACTTCCTCTTAAAGGAAGTAGCATTTGAGATAAAATTTGAACAATACTAGAATTTCCTTACGGGTAGATTAGTAGGAAGGGCGTTCAGGGTAGGAGTCAATTTTATTTGGGAATTCAGAAAATAGTTGGGTTTGACTGAATTGTTTATTATTGGAAAGTAGAAGGAATCATGTACTCTAAACCAAATTTTATGAAGATTTGAAAGAAATGGGATAATAGATATAACACTGTAAAATATTTGGCTAAAATAATGCAAATCTCACTTCTTGAGAAAAATAAGGTCTCTATGTGTTAGTTTTTCTAGTTTAGACTTCTGTATCACTGTTAAAATTTTAAGTAAAATAAGGCACTAGTTAATTATATATCTGACTATCCCTCTGTGTTAGGCAACACTACCTTGTGAACGAACACGAAATAAATATGAAGACGGATAATTAAAAAAATTTTTTTAGTATTTATTTTCAAGAGATAGAGTGCAAGCAGAGGAGGGCAGAGAGAGGGAGACACAGCATCTGAAGCAGGCTCCGGGCTCTGAGCTGTCAACACAGAGCCCGATGTGGGGTTCAAACTCATGAACCGTGAGATCATGACCTGAGCCGAAGTCAGATGCTTAACTGATTGAGCCACCCAGGTGCCCTTAACAGGGATAATTTTTACCTTCTTATTATATAATAATGATTTTTTCTTCTTGTGGCTTTTGAACTTCAAGTAATTTCAGACCAAGTATCACTGCTTAATTTAATTTATGATACCCTTCTTTTATTTTTTTTTTTAAATTTTTTTTTCAACGTTTATTTATTTTTGGGACAGAGAGAGACAGAACATGAACAGGGGAGGGGCAGAGAGAGAGGGAGACACAGAATCGGAAACAGGCTCCAGGCTCTGAGCCATCAGCCCAGAGCCCGACGCGGGGCTCGAACTCACGGACCGCAAGATCGTGACCTGGCTGAAGTCGGACGCTTAACCGACTGCGCCACCCAGGCGCCCCTACCCTTCTTTTAGAAAATGCCATGCACGTTCAAGTGTATGCCATTAAAATGGAAGAAGCTGAACTACAGACCCTACTAAATTCTTATAAATCGCTGGGAAATCTTTGGGATCCCATTCTGGTGGATCAAAAGTAATTATGATAGTAATGAATACTGGTCATTTTTTTTAAGCTTTTCTTTTCTTTTCTTTTCTTTTCTTTTCTTTTCTTTTCTTTTCTTTTCTTTTCTTTTCTTTCCTTTCCTTTCCTTTCCTTTCCTTTCCTTTTCTTTCCTTTTCTTTTCTTTTCTTTCCTTATTTAGAGAGAGTGCACTCGCCTGAGTAGAGGAGGGGCAGAGAGAGAGGGAGAGAGAGAATCCCAAGCAGGCTCTGTGCTGTCAGTGCAGACCCCAACAAGGTGCTGGATCCCATGAACCATGAGATCATGACCTGAGTGGAAATCAAGTCATTCGCTCAACTGACTGAGCCACCCAGGCGCCCCTAGTGGTCATTTTTTAAAAATCCTAAAATGAGGTTGCTGTTAGCACATCTTGGGTTAATATGTAGATTCAGTCTTGTGAAAAGAGGAGTATTGTTCAACTATGAAAAATGATAATAATAATTAAGTCCTGAGTGTACTGCAAGAATACAAAGAGGATTGTTGTGCTTCACAAATGGAGATCCAGAGAGTTGATGGTCTGACAATGAGGGAAGAGAGGAATTTGGAGACTATATTTGGACCTATATATAGGTTTACTTTTCTTTTACCAGTAGATAAGAATATTGTCTGAGGGAGAAACAGGCATGTTTATGGAAGATTGGTAAAAATTTTTTGTGCTCCTGGTTTCCTCTTCACAGTTTTGAAGAAGTATGTGGAAAGTACTCGTCAGAAGAAGGCAATCTTCAGTAAGCAAGAGAGGCTTCCATGTATTGCACCACTAGTAACCACGGTGGAGGAGACACCACAGATTGTCTCTGCTTGCGTCCGAGGGCATTTTCCTCAGTGGCTCCGTGGCTACCTGCTTCGAGTTGGGCCTGGGAAATTTGAATTCGGGAAGGATAAGTAAGTCTTGAATTTGGAAAACCATTTGGATTTTTTAGCATGGCTGGTTCTATGGAATATACATTACGTCTGCTTTCTCTCTGAGGCTAACATTGTCATGCAGTCCCTTTGATTACACATGAGGAAGCTGTAGTCTACAGGAAAAAGAAAAAGGAAACTTAATTCTTTTTCTTAAAAAGTCCTGACTTTTCTGCTCTGCAGAATATTCTGAATTTGGAGTTCTCTTGAAAGCTCATGCCAAAAGAGAAGTGTCAGGAACTGTCTGTATGACCACTGAGCTCTGTTTCGCCACAAGTTCCTGAAGGAAGGAGCAACGTCTTCACCTCATACAGCTCCCTCACCCAGTGTCCCCCAGACACAGTGGCTCTTTCGGTTCCTCAAACTGGGCACATTTATTTTTGCTCAGGGTCTTGGCATTGGCTCTCATCTGTCTTTCCAAGTCTGATTCTTATTACAGTATCAGCTCAAGTCTCATGTCCTTTGAGCTTCCCCAATGTCCCAATCTAAAAATGCTATTATTAATTATATTTCCTATTTTAATTCTCTGCATAGCACTATCAATGTCTAGTACTTTTTGTTTGTGTTCCTCCACTAGAATAAAAATTCCATGAGAGCAGGGAGTTTTTTCTTGTTTGCCCTGTATCCCCAGTATTTAGGACAGTGCCCTGCTCTTAAATAGCACTCAATCAATACATGGAAATAAATGAAAAAGACCAATAACTCTTTAGTACATTATTTCTCTGTGTGGTTAGTAGGGACATGAAGTGGTGTAAAGAAACCCTTATGGTAAGGGAGGAATCTTCTTTGCTTTAAACATTTTTAAATAATAGAAACTTTTTTTCACTATAAAACTTTTTATCTGTATAAAACTTTTTGAAATATAGAACAGAGTGGGGCTTGGGTACCCTGGGTGGCTCAGTCAGTTAAGCATTCAACTGTTCAGCTCAGGCCATGATCTCATGGTTCATGGGTTCCAGCCCCACGTGGGGCTCTGTGCTGCTTGGGATTCTCCGTCTCTTTTTCTCTCTGTCCCCGCCTCCTCACACTCTCTCACTCTCAAAAATAAACTTAGAAAAAATAATAAAAGAACAGAGTGGGAGAAAATGTGGGTCACATTCTCTGTTAGCACTTTAATGTATCTCCTGCTAGTCTTTGCCCCATTTCTATAGATTTATTTTGAACAATTATACTCATATTGTATGTAGACTTTTTAAAAGTTCATTTATTTATTTTGAGAGAGACAGACACAATGTGAGTGGGAGAGGGGCAGAGAGAGAGGGAAAGAGAGGATCCCAAGCAGGCTCTGTGCTGTCACTGCAGAACCCTATGTGGGACTCAAACTCATGAAACCGTGAGATCATGACCTGAGCTGAAACCAAGAGTCTAATGCTTAACTGACTGAGCCTTCCAGAACCTTGTATGTAAACTTTTTAAAATTGAGGTATAATTGACTTAACATTATATTAGTTTCAGGTGTAAAACATAATGGATAATATTTGTATTGTTGCAAAATGATCACCACAGTAAGTCTAGTTAACATGTGTCACCACACAGTTACAAAACCATTTTTTTCTTGTGATGAGGACTTTTAAGATTTATTCTCTTAGTAGCTTTTAAATATACAATACAGTATTATTGACTATTGTCACCATGTTGTATATTACATTCCCATTGCTTAACTTATTTTTGTACCTTTTAACTTCCTTCGCCCATTCACCTAACCTTACCCGCTCATCTCTTGAAATCACTGATCTGTTCTGTATATCTATGAGTTTGGGGTTTTTGTTTTGTTTTGTTTTAAAGATTCTATATATAAATGAGATCATATGGTATTTTCTTTGTCTTTCTCTGTCTCTTACTTTATTTAGCAAAATGCCCTTAACCATGTTGTCACAAATGGTAAGATATCCTTATTTATGGCTGAATAATATTCCACTGTATACAGTAAATCCTTGGATTGTGAGTAACTTGTTCTGTGAGTGTTCTGCAAAGTGAGCAGACATTTCTAATAAATTTTAACTTGATAAACGAGCAATGCCTTGCAATATGAGTAGTACGTGATACCAAACGTCACATGATCACAACTGAGCCGGTGGTTCCTCTCTCTCTCTCTCTCTCTGTCTCTCTCTCTCTCTCTCTCTGCGGGATTGTGGGTGACTGTGTCCCATGCTTGGATGCTTGGTCTCAGGTTGCCGTGTTTGGTAGAAATCAGTGATTTTTTTAGAACGTTGGAAGGGCCCTACAACTGGCACTAGTGTATTTTTTGTCAGTTCAGAGCACCTATGAGCAGTCCTTTGCTTTTCCATCCAAGAGTGAGCTTAGGAATGCTTTGCTTCATTCTAGGTCAGGCTTCCTGCAGATACAGACCCTTTCCTCTGCTGCCTTATTGCCAGTTACATTAAATACAGTATTAAAAAATGAAATAAATAACAGTATATGACAAGAGTTTATTAATGTTGTACGGTAGTGTACATCTATGCAAACATATACAATGGCCCATGCAGAAAAAGATTCCATTGAGCCAATAGATAGCAGTGATTCCCTTAGTGATAGTGAAAGTCATCCTACACAGTAACCCTCCTTTCTCTTGTCTCCCTTACCCCAGTCATGAAGCTTTTCTTTCTTTTTTTTTTTTTTTTTTAATTTATTTTTGGGACAGAGAGAGACAGAGCATGAACGGGGGAGGGGCAGAGAGAGAGGGAGACACAGAATCGGAAACAGGCTCCAGGCTCCGAGCCATCAGCCCAGAGCCTGATGCGGGGCTCGAACTCACGGACCGCGAGATCGTGACCTGGCTGAAGTCGGATGCTTAACCGACTGCGCCACCCAGGCGCCCCATAGGTTTTCAAAGAAAGTACAAATTAATTTGTTTTTCTTTATATTTTGTATTTTCTTTATTATTTTGTATTATATTAAAGTATTGTAATCATTTCTATATAAATATTTTTAGGTTGTGGAACAAATCATCTGAGTTTCCATTATTTCTTATGGGGAAATTTGCTTACATATACAAGTGCTTTGGATTACAAGCGTGTTTCTGGAATGAATTAAGCTCACAAACCAAGGGTTTACTGTCTACATATACCACATCTTCTTTATCTATTCATCCACTGATGGAAATTTAGGTTGTTGCTGTGTCTTGGCTGTTGTAAATAATGCTACATTGAACATGGAGGTGCAGATATCTTCTGGAGTTACTGTTTTTGTTTTCTTTAGATAAGTACCCAGAAGTAGGATTACTGAATGATATGGTAGTTCTGACAGTGGCTGTGCATATTTACATTCCCACCAACGGTACATACACAAGGGTTCCCTATTCTCTACATCCTCACCAACACTTGCTATTTCTTGTCTTTTTGATACTAGCCATCCTAACAAGTGTGAGTTGATATCTCATTGTGGTTTTGATTTGCATTTACGTCGTGATTGGTGATACTGAGCATTTTTCCATGTGCCTATTGACCATCTTCATGTCTTCTTTGGGAAAACGTCTATGCAGATCTTCTGCCCTTTTTTAAAAAATTTATTTATTTGTTTTGAGAGAGAGAGAGAGAGAGCATGAGCGCATGTGATGAGTGGGGGAGGGGCAGAGAGAGAGGGAGAGAACCCCAAGCAGGCTCCACATTGTCAGCTTAGAGCCTGACTCGGGGCTCCATCTCATGAACTGCAAGATCATGACCTTAGTCGAAATTAAGAGTTGGATGCTTAACCGACTGAGCCACCCAGGTACCCCCTTCTGCCATTTTTTAATTGGATTATTAGTTTTTTCAGTATTGAGTTGTGTGGGTTCTTTATGTTTTGGATATTAACTGATTTTTTTTTGGCTCTGGTTTAAAAACTTTCACACTATCATAAGCCTTTTATACATGTTGCTATGAAATCTGAATGACCATTATTTTTAATGGCTGAATGATATTGCAGGAAACATTGCCTTTAAAAAAATTTACAGTTGAGTTACATTAAGTACATACACATTATTGTGCTGTCATGACCACCATCCATCCACTTTTCATCTTGCAAACTGAAACTCTGTTCCCATTAAACAGTGACTCCTCTGGGAATGCAAACTGGTGCAGCTACTCTGGAAAACAGTATGGAGGTTCCTCAAAATATTAAAAATAGAACTACCCTGTACCCAGCAATAACACTACTAGGATTTTATCCAAATGATATGGGAGTGCTGATTCATAGGGGCACATGTACCCCAATGTTCATAACAGCAGTATTGACAATAGCCTAAGTATGGAAAGAGCCCACATGTCCATCAACTGATGAATAGATAAAGAAGATGTGGTGTGTGTATATATATACATGTATGCATACATATACATATATATCTACATACACACACAATGGAATATTACTCAGCAATCAGAATGAAATCTTGCCATTTGCAATAATGTGGATGGAACTAGAATATATTATGCTAAGCGAAATAAGTCAGCCAGAGAAAGACAAATAATCATATGATTTCACTCATATGTGGAATTTAAGAAATACAGCAGATGAACATAGGGGAAGGGAAGCAAAAAAAAAGATGAAAACAAAGAGGGATGGGGTGCCTGGGTGGCTTAGTCAGTTGAGTGTCCAGCTTCGGCTCAGGTCATGATCTCAAGGTTCATAAGTTCGAGCCCCGCATCAGGGTCTGTGCTGACAGCTGTTAGGCTGGAGCCTGCCTCGGATTCTGTGTCTCCTCTCCTCTCTCTCTTTCTCTCTCTCCCTCTCTCTCTTTCTCTCTCTCCCCTCCCCTGTTTATGTTGTATCTCTCTCTTTCTCAAAAATAAACATAAATTTTTTTTTTTTTTAAAACAGAGAGGGAGGGAGGCAAACCATAAGAGACTCTTAAATACAGAGAACAAACAGGTTTGCTGGCAGAGTGTTGGGTGAGGTGATTGGCTAATTGGGCAATGGGCATTAAGGAGAGCACGTGTGGGGATGAGCACTGGGTGTTATATGTAAGTGATGAATCACTAAATTCTATTCCTGACATCATTATTACACTAGATGTTAACTAACTTGGATTTAAATTAAATAAATAAACAAAAAAAAAAAAGAAAAAAGAAAAATCAACTTTAGGAAAAGTAGAAAATGGCATAAGGAAGGAAAAGTATTTATAGTTTTCTACATGATTGTGTTGTGAATGACATTTTTATAGTCAATAATATGAATATTAAGTGTTAATCTAATTAATATTATGATAGTGATATTTAAAATATTGGGAGATTTAAGGGGTGCTCATGCATAGTGGAGATGGGGAGAGAGAGGAGAGCTAAATCCTGATCTTTCCTAGTAGAAAGCCAATAAAAGTCTAATGTGAAAAATAACAAGCATGTTAATTAGCAATATGGAAGTAAAAATCAAGAGTCAAATTAAAGTATTTGAAAACGTTGGCCTCTAGGGACAGGAAAATGGAGTAAAGGGATTAGAGACTTCAGTTTATCATAGGAAGTTTTTTGGAATTGGTCGATTCTTTAAAACTACATATATGAAATTGAACTATGTGTGTGCATTTAAACTACATAGATGTGCGATTTAAATTAAAATTGCAGGAACTTCCGGTTGCTCAGTGGGTTAAAGGTCAGACTCCTGATTTCAGCTTAGGTCATGGTCTTGCAGTGGTGAGGTGGGGCTCTGCACTGACAGCAAGGAGCCTGCTTAGGATTCTCTCCCTCGTCTTCTCTCTCCCTCTTTTTCTCTTTTGCTCAAAATAAATAAATAAACTTAAAAAATAAATTAAATTAAAATTGCAGAAGAAAAAAACATGAAGTAATACAATTTAAGGGAAGAGAGGAATCCTCTACATTTTCTTCCAGTCCTCCCCTTGTCCTTGAAGGAGTTTAGGACACGTATTCCAAAATATGCCACTTCAGCATACTGAGCTGAAGGCACTTGAGAAACAGCAGATGCAGGAAGGGCTCCTGACCTCCCCTTTTCTACCTAAAAACAGGCCATAAAATTTCCTACAGGAAGGGAGCCCTCCCTGTACCAGGAGGCTCTTATCACCAGAGCCTGGGAACGGACATTGAAATGGATCTTTTTTTTTTTTTTTTTTTTAATTTTTTTTTTCAACGTTTTTTATTTATTTTTGGGACAGAGAGAGACAGAGCATGAATGGGGTAGGGGCAGAGAGAGAGGGAGACACAGAATCGGAAACAGGCTCCAGGCTCCGAGCCATCAGCCCAGAGCCCGACGCGGGGCTCGAACTCACGGACCGCGAGATCGTGACCTGGCCGAAGTCGGACGCTTAACCGACTGCGCCACCCAGGCGCCCCTGAAATGGATCTTATGTACAAGCTTATTAAAATAGCCTCATCTTCCGCTAGGTTTGCTTCTCTCATATAGCTCATGTTGCTTCTCCCAGTTTACTGCCCCCAGCCCTGACTCCTGGTCTTGTCGTTTCTTCACAAACTTACCGTTTCTTGTCTTAAAAAAAAGGTATGAAAGCTTCCTGCTCTAGTCACTTCTCCAGGGCTTCATTATCATACCAAGGCCCCCACAGACATGTAGAAATTTAATAAAATGTATACTTTTCTCCTGTTAAAAAAATATAAATAAATAAACAGTGACTCCTCATTCTCCCATTTCTAAGCCCCTCCCCTTCCCTTCTACTTTGTGTTAGCTACATTATTCCCTTAGGCCTGGTGAGACTCTGATCATGGTCCGGCTCTTCTTTTCCTAGCTGTTATTGGAAAGAGATAAACTTTAGGAGCAAGATATATTTATTAATATTTATATATTCAAGATATATTTCTTAATATTCCAGATATTTTAATTTGCTGAACCTGTTGCATCTTCACTTGATTAAATAACAGATTTATAAAATGCTAGTGCTGAAAGGCATTAAAATGCAGTGTGTTCCTCACCCCTAGCTGTGTAAAAAGCGCTTAAGAAGTTACTTTAGATGCCTCCAGTGGAGTTGCAGCTGAGGGGGCTGGGAGATTGGGAGGTAGTTTGGAGGTAGAGAAAAAGAAGGTAAATGAGCCAGCCTATGGATCCCCCTGGCCCTAATTAGCAAAGGTGTGCTTTTTTTCTGTTTATATATCTGGATTTCAACAAGTTGTAATCTGAAAAAAGATTAGAAGGCAAACAGAAGCGCGAGAAGGAAGAGAAAAATGAAACTATTAGCCCAATCCCTAGACTGTAACAGCCTCTGAAAGCATATGGTGTTTCATCTGCTGCCCTGGTAAACTTTAGAACCAAGCAGCAGAGCTCCTCAGCGCCTAAGCTTGCGCTACAGGCCTCTTTTCAGATAAACGTCTTTGTGGGTGGGGGAGGTGGGTGGTGAATTGGCAGTCAGTACATTTTCATTTTCTTCTTTCCCTTTAGTGCCCTTGTCCCCCCACTCCCTTTCCTGCCAAATTGCTTTTTTTCTAGTTCACCCTACTTTTTGGGATGTTGTAAGATCCCAGGATTTGGAGTCAGCACTGAATTCAAATTTCTTTCTTGCCACTTACCAGCCTTGTGACCCTGGCATGTTTTTATTCTGTACCTTGGTATTAATATTTATTCACAGGATCAGTGTGTGATAAATAAATAATTATTAAAATAATATTTTATATTTATATATAAAATAAAATATATTTTTATTTTTTTAATGTTTATTAATTTTTGAGAGAGAGATGGGGCGAGGGGCAGAGAGAGAGGGAAACAGAGGGTCCAAAGCAGGGTCTATGCTGACAGCAGAAAGCCCAATGCGGGGCTTGAATTCACAAACCAGGAGATCATGACCTGAGTCGAAGTCTGACGCCCAACTGACTGAGCCACCCAGGTGTCCCTATATTTATTTCCTATATTTATTTTTATGTCTGCAGGAAAGGATATGGTAAAGTGCTTAGCACAGTCCTGTCAGGTAGTTGCTCCTTCTGTCATATATACTATTTTTTTTAATTACTTCTCTGTTCTCTCAGTGATCACTTTATGATATAGTTATTTATGTGCCTGTAAGCACTGGTCTTGGCACAAGCCTGGCAGATAGCAGGGGCTCAAGAAAAGTTGGCTGGTTTCAGTAAATTAATACATGGAATGATAGGGTCTAGTCTAGAAGGATCTTATGAAATGGAATCTAGCAAGTTGAATATATTATTAGGTAGATGAAAAAATTTTTTATAAGTGCAAGGATGAAAGTGATGTGACTTAACAGTAGAATGTATTAAAAATTACTTAGGGGTTTTAGTTGATAGTTCAGTGTGAGTCAACAATATGGGGTGGTAACCAAAAATAAATAAAGAAAGAGAACAAAAGAACGTGAAGTCTCTTAAATGAGGAAACTGAGTGTCTGGTTACCCAGAGTATTGTGTTTGAGACTATGTATTGTAGTTTTAGAGGTATTTAGACAAGAATAGCAATAATTATTGAAATTATTTTGTTTTTAGTGTTTTTTGAAAAAAAATTACCAAAACAGAGAAACTACCGGCTAACATAATCAAGAAGAAAAAGGGAGGAAGTACAAATATTCAAAACAGGAAATGGTAGTGGAAAGAAATCCATTGAAATAGATAAAATTTACGAGACTTTCTAGGCCTTTATGCAGATACATTTCAGAACCTCTTGAAATGGCTAATTTTCTGGGAAAACACAGATTACCAAAATTCATAGAGATAGCAGGTTTGAACAGAACAGTTTTCATAGAGGAAAAAGGGGTACTTGTTAATTATCTACCTCTCAAAAAAAGCACCAGGCCCAGATTTCTTCATAGAGAAATGCTACCAAACCTTCAAATATCAAATAGTCCTAAAGCTCTGTATATCATTTCAGAGAAAATGAAACAAGTATAATGTTCATTATCTGCACATGATGCAGACAGTACAGAAAATTTATTCATATTACTTATGAATATCAATGAAAAAATAAAAAATATATAGTGCTAATACAGTACAAAAATATTTTAACAACAAATAGAATCCAACACTATATAAAAATATAATTCACGATGATGAGGTAGGATTAATTTCAAGAATGCAAAGTAGTTTCATTATTTGGAAATCCATTAATATATGCCATATTAATAGGTCTCAGGATAAATAATCATAGGATTATCTCTATAAATGCTGACAAAACTTTTGTCAGAATTCAACATCCATTCCTCATAAAAATACTCAAGAAAACAGGACTTGATGGATACTTTCTTAATGTGATTTTATATACATACATACACATATATACACACACAGGTAAATATATGTGCATCCAATATATATGTAATAATATATTTATATATAAATATATGTATGTGGATATATATGTATATACACATGTGGATATAAAGGTATAAGTATGTGTATATGTATATATACATATACATATAATACATTTTGTGTATGTGTATGTATATACACATTTATATTTTTATATATGTGTGTTTATATGTATACATGCATACACAAACATATATATTTTACTCTTAATCTTAAAACCAGTGATATTAAAATGAGAAACACTATAGGTATTTTAAGATAGGAGCAAGGAAAGGATGTCCCCTATTCCACTGCTTTTCAACCGGATGTAACCAATACAGTCTGACTAAAGAAACTGATTAGAGGCCCAAAGATTAGTAGGGTAAGACTCTCTGTTTGCAGATGATATCCTAGTAAATCTGGAAGACCCACAGAATCAATGACAAAACCAATTCAAACAATAAAAGGTAAGGTAACAGGATGTAAAATTAACCTACTGAAATCAATAGCCTTCATATACACAAACAATAACTAGTTAGGGCACATAATGGTAGAAAAAACTTTTACAGTAGCAACAAAGAAGAAACTTAATAAGAAATGTGCAAACTTTAAAAACACTCCTGGGGGTGCCTGGGTGGCTCAGTCCGTTGACGCTTGATTTTGGCTCAGATTGTGATCCTAGGGTCATAGAATAGAGCTCCATGTTGGGCCCTGCACTGAGCATGGAGCCTGCTTGAGATTCTCTGTCTCTGTCTCTCTCCCCCTGCCTTTCTCCCTTACTCTCATTCACTCACTCACTCTCTCTCTAAAATCACAGGACTCCTAAAAGACACAATCAAGCAAATGATAAAACATCCTGTGTTCTTGAATAGGATAATTCAACATCATAAAGATGTCAGTATTCCCTAAGTTAATTTTAAAATTTAATACAATCTTTAAAATTCCAACAAGGTTTTAAAGGAAATTAGATCAATACTAAAGTTTATATGGAAAAATAAATATGCAAGTATAGTCAAGAAAACATGAAAAAAAGATTTTCAGTGAAGGGACTAGCCTTTTCGACATTAAAAAATACTATAAACACTCTTTGATTAAAACATTGTGATATCAGTACATAAATAAATAAACAAGTGATATAGAATAGAAAGCCAAGAAATAAACCCAATAACTAATGGAAATTTAATTTATTATAAGATGGCATCTGAAATCACTGGGCAAAGGGAGTCTTGTTTTACTTTTAAATTTATTTCCTGCATTTTTTTATTGTGGTAAACAATATGTAATGTAAAATTTACCATCTTAGCCATCTTTAGAGGTAAAGGTTAGTGTTAAGTTTATTCACATTGTTGTGGAACAGATCTTCAGAACTTTTTCAGCCTGCAAAACTGAAACTCTACCTTTTTGTGTGTGTGACTAGATTGTTTTGTTTATAATAATGTCCTCAAAGTTCTTCTGTGTTGTAGCATGTGACAGAATTTCCTTTCCTTCCTTTTTAATGGACACTAGGTTGTCCATTTTTTGATTGTCATAAATAATGCTGCTATAAACACAGGTATACAAATATTTCTTTGATTCCTTGCTTCCAGGGCCATTGCATTTTAACACAATGGTGTTAGCCTTGCTTATCTGTGCTGAAGACATATTAAGCATTCAGCATATTAAGCACATGAAAGAAAAGACTGTATGATGTGAAACTCTTTTAAAAGCAAAGCCACTGGGGCTTCTGGGTGACTCAGTTGGTTGAGTGTCCGACTTTGGCTTCAGGTCATGATCTCACAGTTTGTGAGTTCTAGCCCCACGTCAGGCTCTGTGCTGACAGTTCAGAGCCTGGAGCCTGCTTCAGATTCTGTGTCTCCCCCTCTCTCTCTGCCCCTCCCTTTTTCGTGCTCTGTTTCTCTCTCAAAAACAAACAAACATTAAAAAAAAAAAAGAATTGTTTAAAAGCAAAGCTATAAACTTTTCCTTATAGTTTTTTGATGTTCCATTATTTAAAAAAAAATTTTTTTTTAACATACGCATGTTTGAGAGTGAGAGAAACAGAGTATGAGTGGGGGAGGGGCAGAGAGAGTGGGAGACACGGAATCTGAAGCAGGCTCCAGGGTCCGAGCTGTCAGCACAGAGCCCGATGTGGGGCTTGAACTCATGGACCTCGAGATCATGACCTGAGCTGAAGTCAGACACTTAATTGACTGAGCCACCCAGGTGCCCCTATATTCCATTATTAAATAGATAATTTCTACTGTAATCATACCTACCAAGATGATTAATAATCTTATTTGTTCTTTAGCATAATTCTGATAAATTTGAAAAAATTTAAAGTAAATGGAAAACATAATATATACATAAGATTATGAAGATTATTATTTCTTAAAGCTTAGGAACCCATTTTAATTTGGAGAATGTCAAGTATTTCATATCCTCTTATGCTATTTTCCTGGCTATAGGGTAAAAATCAGACTTATTTTAGGAGTCACCAGTTTGGAGTGTTATTTTCAACCTTCTAAGTGTGAGTTTTTTGACAGGGGAGTAAGGGCCAGAAGAATGTAAGGTGTTCTTCTCTGTTGGATTTCAGGATATACTCAAAAGGTGTCATCTCTTACTCAAGTTTTCAAACCAAACAGGTTGTGCTGGGAACCCATTCCAATTCCTTATCTCTATATTTGAAGGCATTCATTTGCCCCTGTGTTTTTCTTACTGATCTTTGTCTTTCTGTTTTTGCTGCTGTCTGAAGGTACAATCACTGGTTTGATGGGATGGCTTTGCTTCACCAGTTCAGGATGGAGAAGGGCACAGTGACGTATAGAAGCAAGTTCCTACAGAGTGATACTTATAAGGCCAATAGTGTTAATGATCGAATTGTGATCTCAGAATTTGGCACGCTGGCTGTCCCCGACCCCTGCAAGAATGTTTTTGAACGTTTCTTATCAAAGTTTGAAGTGCCTGGTAAGCAGCCTTTACTGTGCTCAGAATTTCTGGGTGATAGTGATGACTATTTAATTTTGATGTATGTCAATCTATATAAATACATATCTTGAAGTAGAATTTTTTTCTTTGTTTTTGGTATAAGAGGATGTTTAAACTGTGTTCTTGCTCTGACTGTGCTACAGTAAGTTGTGGTGTTTAAGTAACTCTGGGATTTGGTTTCAGCAATAACTGACAACACCAATGTCAACTACGTGCAGTACAAGGGTGACTACTACCTTAGTACTGAGACCAACTTTATGAACAAAGTGGACATCAAAACTCTGGAAAAAACTGAAAAGGTAAAATATAGTTTAAGAAAATGAATAAGGATGCCTGGGTGGCTCAGTTGTTTAAGTGTTTGATTGGGTCAGGTCATGATCTCATGGTTTGTGGGTTGGAGCCCTGCCTCAGGCTCCCTGCTGTCAGCACGGAGCCTACTTCAGATCCTTTGTCTCCCTCTCTCTCTGCCCCTCCTCTGCGCTCTCTCTCTCAAAAATAAAAAATAATGAACATTTACAAAAATGAATAAAATAGACCCTAACATTTCATTCCTTTCCGAATACTTTTTAGAGGGGTAGTTATCTGAAGAAGAAATTGGAGCCTTTATGAAACAAAGAAAAAAAAGTTACCCACTGATTCAGGGTATTACTCTGCACCTTCTGTCCTCAGTAGATCTAGGCCTGTGAGATTGGTTTTCCTTAAAGATAATTCTAGATGTCTTCCTTAGTCCTAGTATCTGAAGGCTATAGTAAAGGAAAAATACAATAGTACAGATTTAAGTTGGCCATTTCATGTCCTTCCTAGCTACAGATAGAATTGGATTAGAGACTGTCTAGGCCCGTCCTGCATTCACCTAACACATTAATAAAAATTAAATTAAATTTGGACCAGAACTTTAATTCTTATTTTTTGAACTTTCCTGCAATCTTGGTGGGATATGGGGAATCCTTACTGGATAATCATTTTTGTCCATTTGATGGTGGCGGTGGTGGAGTTTTTATTTATTATTTAGTCTCAATTTCTTTAGAAGAAAAAATAATTTTGATTTCTTAGAGGTGAGACATTAGGGCTTAGACTATAGTTGTCATATCTTATTTTTAAGATATCTGACACATTCCTACTGTTGATAAATGTAAGTAGAGATCTTCCCATTTTAACATTTAAAAGTCTCTGATGGTCTTAAATTTGCAGGTAGACTGGAGGAAATTCATTGCTGTGAATGGAGCAACTGCACATCCTCACTATGATGCTGATGGAACAGCTTACAACATGGGGAACTCCTATGGGTCACATGGTAAAGTTGGGAAGGAGGTCTTTTTAAAAATAATTAGGGGTTAACTATCTCCCCAGTGTTCCATTATAGTTAAGGTGTAGACATAGGGAACTTTGTTTAAAAGGGTCAGAAGGAAATCTCCAAAGTTGCATAACTGAGCTGAAGGTACCTAATTTACTGTGTTCTGTGGTCCTTTTGCACATATGCTTAGCAACTGATTTGCTATTTGACCTTTTCAGCATGACTTACATTTTTTATGTTCTGTTGTGCTTTTTGGCTTACAGGCATTACAGGGATTTTCAGTATGTATTTCTCAAACTTGAATTAAAAAAAAAAATCACACTATAAGTACAAGAACTTTAGAATGGTACAGCAAACAGATGTGGGGAAAGTACATTGTTCATTACATGGGAAAGGATTTATTTTTATTATGGGAAAAATACACTACAAAGTAAGTTAAGGTTATTGTGTGTTTGTATTTCCAGCCATTTACATCACATCTGTTTCCTGGTCATCCACAACTCCTTTTCCAACTGCCTACCAATCTGCTCCAGAAACTTCTAATAGCTAATAATGATAGCTAACATTTATTGAGTGCCTAGTATATCCTGGTGTTAAGCATTTTTCAATGTACTTTTTTAATTTAGTCCTTATAACGACTCTCTGAGAGAGGTACTATTACTGCCCCCATTTTACAGACAAGGGCAGTGAATCTGGAGACTGTGTAAAATACTTGGTTAGGCAAGTTTCTAGTGTGTAAGGCCAGTCTTGCCAGCAAGTCTGAATCACACCCAAAGTCACTCTGTTAGACTATCTTCGTAATTATTTATTACTGAGTACAGAAGACTGTCAGAGCATGCAAATTCATGTTCCTGTAACCTGAGTGCATGTCTCTCTGAAGAGAAATGGGTAGGTGTTCGATATTTCTGACTATCTGTCTTAACCTGTCCATCAGTCTATCATGTATAACCTGTGAAACCTTTGTATGGTTTAGCTTTTGTGTAGGTTAATGTGTGCCTTTGGTGAGTAATTGGCTTTGCAGGGTGTTTGTGTCTACTTCTCCATATTGACATAGGTGACTGTGTATTAAAATGCATAGTGCAGTTTTGTTTTTTGCTGGCTCAAGTAGAGCTAGGTATCCTAAAACTTCATCACCCAGCTCTCTCTCCATATATATATGTATTTTTTAATGTTTATTTCTTGGGGAGAGAGAGAGTGAGAGACAGAGTGTGAGCAGGAGAGGGGCAGAGAGAGAAGGAGACACAGAATCTGAAGGCTCCAGGCTCTTAGCTGTCAGCACAGAGCCTGACATGGGGCTTGAACTCATGAACCACAAGATCATGACCTGAGCTGAAGTCAAGATGCTTAACCGACTGAGCCACCCAGGCGCTCCTCTATTCTCTTCTTTATTACCTGATCTTGAGTAGGAAATGTGTTCTTCAAGGCTGTTACAGGAAACAGCAAACATCCTTTTAGGTAAAATGTTTCAGGAAATGGGTAAACTAACTCTGCAGTTTTTTGTCCATCCATCTTTTTTGATCATTAAAAAAATTTCATTAAAAATGATATCTATTCTAGGGGCGCCTGGGTGGCGCAGTCGGTTAAGCGTCCGACTTCAGCCAGGTTACGATCTTGCAGTCCGTGACTTCGAGTCCCGCGTCGGGCTCTGGGCTGATGGCTCAGAGCCTGGAGCCTGTTTCTGATTCTGTGTCTCCCTCTCTCTCTGCCCCTCCCCCGTTCATGCTCTGTCTCTCTCTGTCCCAAAAATAAATAAACGTTGAAAAAAAAATTAAAAAAAAATGGTATCTATTCTATATACTTCTCTGGTCTGTTTTTTATTCCCTTAACACTGTATTAAAATATTATAATAATTATTTCTTATGTCAAGAAACATTTCCCAGAATCAGGCTGCATAGAATTCTCCTAAGTAGATGACCTATTTTAAAAACTATTTTCTTGTTAATTAAAATATGGTTGACAAAAAGTACATTTCCTAATAAATTAAGTCTATTAATCAAGTAGATAACTGGGTAACTAGTTCATAATATGATAGATACTGTTTAGCTTTTCTGAATTATATATTCTAAAATAAGTAGTTGTTAGATCAGTGGTTCTTAGCCTTTAGTGTGCCTCAGAATGTTCTGGAATGCTTCCTAGCAATGTAGATTACTGGGCTTTATCTTCAGAGAGTTTGGTTCAGTAGACCTGAAAAAGGACCAAGAATCTGCTTTTCAATCACCCCCTTACCCCTTATCTTGGCACATTTTAACAAGGTCCCCACGTGATTTTGGTGCAAGTGACGCCTGGATCTTTGAGAAACCCTGCCACCAGTCATCAGAGGCTGTGGCTGTTCTTGGTACTTTGCCTCAGTCTATTATACAAAGTCCTGAAGAGTCTCCCAGAGTTAGATGCAGTGTTGGGCAGGTCATTCCTCTGGGCATTCCTTTGTTGGGTGTTTCCTGGGTATGTGTCTGTCTTGCTCATGGCTTCACAACTTGCAGTTAGAACAGTTCATTAATTAATACTGGTTAAATTTAGTGAGTTTTGTCACTTAATCTAACCACTGAGATGAGCAATTCTTTATCTTCTAATCTCAACTGAAACTGAATCTCCTCCCCCTCCCCTCCCCCCTCTTTCCCCTCCCTTCCTCCTCCTCCCCTCCTCCTCGCCTCCTCCCCTTCCTCCTCCCTGTCTTCCTCCCCCCTCCCCCTCCTCCCCCCTCTCTTCCCCCTCCCCCACCCCCTCCCCTCCTCCTCCTCCTCCTCCCCTTCCTCCTCCTCCTCCTCTTCGTCTTCCTCTTTCCTCGATTGTTCAGTTCAACCGGAGTTTTTGAACTGGAGCTCAAATGTACATGTAGCTGTAGAGAGGTTGTGTTTGGGAGAAATTTAGTGATTCTCATAATAAAGTGCTTGCTGGTAATTTCTGTCTTTAAGAAATAAAAAGCTTTTAACTGTTTAAGCATTTCCCTGCATTTTTAAAGTCTTTAAAAAATGAACAAAAATCCTCTAAATAATCAATCCAAGTAGTTTTTAGTACTAATGAAATGTATATAACCTGTTAGATAGTAATATGGTACTTTTGGAACTGTAGAACTGGTCTTTCATCGCTTTTATAACTCATCACTGTCTAAAGCATGATGTTTTATATATAATGGGTACGCAGAACACATCTATATCCTAACTCAGACCCCTTCAGTATTTTATATCAATTGGATATAAAATTGATATAAAACACTCAGTGTTTTTACTAGGATGTCTAATAGGTGTTACAAAATTAACTTATTTAAAACCAGACTCCTGAACTTTTCCCCTAAATTTTCTCTGCCTAAAAGACTCCCCATTTAAGCTGATGGTAACTTCATCCTTCCAGTTGCTCAGGATGATAATTTTGGAATCATCCTTCACATCTGTCTCTCACATCCATATCCAGTTGGTCAAAAAGCAATTGCAGCAGTGCCTTCAAAATAAATTTAAAAATCCAACCACCTCATATGACCTCCACTGCTGGCATTCTGGTTTGAGCCCACCATCCTCTCGCATGTGAATTGGTGTAATAGCTTCTTAACTGGTCTCTGGGCATCTACCCTTGCCCCATTTCAGTTTATTGTCAGCATATCAGCCAATTATCTTTTTAGCCCACCCACCTCATCTCAGACTTTTCTTGCTTACTCTGACAGGGCCTCACTGGCCTTCATGCTATTATTTGGACACTCCAGGCTTACTTTTGGCTGAGAATCTTTGCATTTATTCTTGTCTCTGCCTGGAATGTGTTTCTCCCAGATATCCTCAAGCCTCTCTTCCTCACCTCCTCTTGGTCTTTTCTCAAATGTCACTGTCTTAGTGAAGCCTTCTCAGATCACCCTATCAACAATTGCAAACAGTGGCCCCCATCCGTATACACTTATTCCCAGTCCCTATAGATCTTATCATCATCCGATGCTTTATACTTTTACTTATTGGATGCTTTATTAGAATCTGAGCTTTGTAAAAGAAAAGGCTTGTGTACAATTGGACCCTGCTGTGTATACGTGTCTGGAAGATAAACTTAGGACACTTAGAAGAGTGTTTGGAATATAGTTGACACTCAAGAAGTAATGGCTGAATAAATGAATAGAGAACAGAAGGGTTATCTTGTTTCAAAAGAAGCTGAGTGTTTGCAAAGTTATGTGTTACCCCAGTTTTTCAGGACCAGCATTGGCAATTCTAATACCAGAAATATAATTCATTATGACCTCAGTATTTGTTTATTCACTAAACAATTTAAAACAATTTTTTAATGTTTATTTATTTTTGAGAGGTGAAGGAGGGGCAGAGAGAGAGCGAGACACAGAATCTGAAGGAGGCTCCAGGCTCCAAGCTCCAAGCTGTCAGCACAGAGCCCAATGCAGTGCTCAAACTCATGAACTGCGAGCTCATGACCTGAGCCAGAGTTGGACGCTTAACCGATGAGCCACCCTGGTGCCCCTATTCACTGAATAATTTAACAAACATAAGTTGTTAAGTAATCCATCATCAATAGCTATTTTTACTGTGCCTACTGAATGCTAAGTTCTTGCTTGGTACTGAGGATACAAAGATGAATCAGACACAATTCCTGCCCTTGAAGAGCTCACCAGTCTGTTGGAAAGCAGATAAACAAGCACGAAATTATAGTGCAATAAGATAAGTGTATGACTGTACAGGATATAATCAGGGCATTGAGGAGAGGCACCAAATACCTTTGGGGTGGGGAAGAATCAGGGAGGGCTACTTGAGGAGTGGTCACCTGAGCTGGTTCTTGCAGAAGTAGTAAGATGAATAATTACATGAATGAAGGCAATTGCATGAATGCATTAAGAAAGGATAAGATGGGACTTGGAGTGACCTCAGGGATCCAGAGGACTGGAGAGGAGTTGGGTGTGGGGGCAAATGGAGATTGTAATTGTAGGGATTGGGGAATGGTGAGAGGGACAAGTAGAATTAGAGGATATTCTTGCCTGCTACCTGATCTTTTCCTATAAAGTAGAGAATGAGTTCATTTTTAGGGAGTGAGAGGGTAGTCTTTTGAGAGCATTAAAATGCAATAAACTTAGCTAGTAATCATGAAAAAAAATGCAATAAACCGTTGGTTACTTTGTGTGTATCATTTTAAAACCTTAGCTAATGACTTTCATAAAGTTAATATTTTTTTTTTTTATCCAAGTCTTTGTTTGAAATAACCCTTTATGGGTGCGCCTGGGTGGCTCAGTTGGTTAAGCATCTGACTTCGGCTCAGGTCATGATCTCATGGTTCCTGAGCCCCACATTGGGATCTCTGCTGGCGGTGCAGAGCCTGCTTCAGATCCTGTCTCCCTCTCTCTGCCCCTCCCCCACTTGTGCCTCACGCTCTCTCAAAAATAAATAAACATTAAAAAAAGAAATAACCCTTTATGAAATACGGATGTCATGCATATATTGCATAAATCTCTAATCCATGAGTGCAAGGGTTGTATTTTATTTTAGAATGTGTATAAATAAGACAGGACTTTGTTTTCCAGGTTCTTGCTATAATGTTATTCGAGTTCCTCCAGAGAAGGTGGATCTTGGGGAGACAATCCATGGAGCCCAGGTGATATGTTCTATTGCCTCTGCAGAGGGGATGAGACCTTCTTACTATCATAGCTTTGGTAAGCCCAAAGATAACACACATTACTTTGGGATGTGCCTTAAACGTCGCTGTAGCAGACAAGCTAGTGTTCGCATATACTGTGTTGATACCGCTTATCAAAATATGCTGATGAGACCAAGGTTGCATTTTAATGCCACTTCAGTTTATTTTGTTTAGTGACATACTTTTTATCCTGGCAATTACTAAAAAATTGACAGCATCAAAAGTGAACCAGAATGTAAATTATGGACTTTGGGTGCATTTGATGGGTTGTCAGTTTGTCAGCTGTTGCAAATGTACCAACCACTCTAGTGGGGGATGTTGATGATAGGGAGGCTGTGTGTGTGGGGGGGACAGGGTATAAAGTCTCTGTGCCTTCCCTTTAATTGTGTTACAAACCTGAAACTGCTCTACAAAAGTAAAGTCTTAGGAGAAAAAAATTATTTGACCATAAAAAAAATTGACAGAATTCAAAATTTTAGGTAACTTTAAAGCCATAGGTAATTATTTTCATGAAAAGGTCTTGACTATGTTTTTTGGGGGGGAAATTCATATTCTGTTTGATAGCTTCAGCTTTTTCTCAGAATATTTATTTTCTGCATTCTAAACCTTTATAGCCAATCTGCTGCTGAATCTTAACCTTCAGGATAAATAGCAAAAGGATTACAGAAGAAACATCTTGATCACAAATGACACTTTAATATTATGCTTCTTCACTTGGTTCGTAAACTGACCAATTTAAAAAGAAAAATAAGGAAGATAAAAAGCAAGCTGTGAGCATTCAACCCAAGCTGTTCTGAGCAGTTCCCTTTTTTATGTAGGAACAAGAAATATGTAAGGCAAAGCTGGGAAGCAGTGGAGAATTATTTCTGTCTGGCTTTTGTTTAGGTTAGAAGTATTATGTCCTGGCATTCAGATAAATCCCCATAACCGTCACATTTCAGACAATTCTAATTTACTAAATCCCATTTTATTATTTGCTGGAACCTTTCAGGAATGACAAGGAACTACGTAATCTTCATTGAACAGCCTCTAAAGATGAATTTGTGGAAAGTTGTCACTTCTAAAATCCGGGGAAAGTCCTTTGCAGATGGAATAAGCTGGGAACCCCAGTATAATACACGGTTTCATGTGGTGGATAAGCACACTGGACAGGTGGAGTATCTTGACTATGTTTGTTTTGAAAATGGACAAATCTGTATATGGTTGATTTTTTTTCTGTCACTGGGTATTGCTGGTATAAGACATTCGTAATCAAGGATATTACCTTCTTCCGTAGGTGGGGCTAGCTACTTATTAATGAGTACAGTGGGTTTTGCATATTAGAAAATTGTAAGGAATGGTTTTACTTTTAATTATCTGATTCAACTAACATGGCATCTAAGAAACCTTGGCATATTAGTATGAATTTTTCCATGTCATAATATTTGCTAAAGAGAATGTTGTTCACATAGAAGTCTTCTGTAACTTTTGCAATGATAATTTTTTGCTTGGTTCTATGACTTCTTGATATGTAAATATGATAATCCTACCAAAGTCCAAAGTGCGTTTGTTAAATATCTTTCTATACTCCTGTTTAGTAACACTATGGTATTTTGTCTTCTTTTTGCCTTTCTAAAGAGATGACATCCTAAATTTACTGTACCCTAATTTCATTACAAAAAATCCTATTTTGATAATAAGTGCATTTTTCAAATAATCACTTAACTCATCATAAGCTACTTAATGGCAGTATTTTCTCTTTTTTTTAATAGTTTTTTAAAGTTTATTTATTTACTTTGAGAGAGAGAGAGAGCACACCAGCAAGGGAGAAGCAGAGAGAGAGGGAGCTAGAGAATCCAAAGCAGTCTCTGCACTGTCAGTGCAGAGCCCAAGGGGCTCCATCTCCCAAACCACGAGATTTGACATGAGCCAAAACCAAGAATTGGACGCTTAACTTACTGGGCCACCCAGGTGCCTCAAAAGCAGTATTTTCTATTCAATCATGTAAGATAAAGTCTAGGATTTATTTATACCTCAAAACATTGGGCCCTATTTCATAAGGACTTTTAAGTTAGTTGTGACAGTTGATTGGTTTATATCAAATAGCCCCAGTTCATTGATTAATATGAAATGTGATGACCTAAGCAAGCAATGCTTAAATCAAAGTGTTTGCTTCTAGGGGCGCCTGGGTGGCGCAGTCGGTTAAGCGTCCGACTTCAGCCAGGTCACGATCTCGCGGTCCGTGAGTTCGAGCCCCGCGTCGGGCTCTGGGCTGATGGCTCAGAGCCTGGAGCCTGTTTCCCATTCTGTGTCTCCCTCTCTCTCTGCCCCTCGCCCGTTCATGCTCTGTCTCTCTCTGTCCCAAAAATAAATAAACGTTGGGAAAAAAAAAGAATTAAAAAAAAAAACAAAAAACAAAAAACAAAGTGTTTGCTTCTATGTTCCACATTCTACCTTTTATACTTACTAGTCCTGTCACTTAAAGGGGAGGAGGGAATCTTTTTAATTTAAACTTTGTGGATCTGTTCCTTAAAGAAAAAAAGAAAATATCTCTTTTTCTTTGTATTTTCCCTGCAGCTTCTTCCAGGGATGTACTACAGTAAACCTTTTGTTACTTTTCATCAAATCAATGCCTTTGAGGACCAGGGCTGTGTTGTAATCGATTTGTGCTGTCAAGATGATGGAAGAAGCCTAGAAGTTTACCAACTACAGAATCTCAGGAAAGTTGGGGAAGGGCTTGATCAGGTAAACATCTCTGATTTGTTAGAAGTTGTCAACATAATTTTGAACTCACCAGGTTCTGGCTGTTTCTCTTGCTTCTTTGGCAGATAAGGAAGTAGAATGGTTTTATTTTATTTATTTTTTTTATTTTATTTTATTATTTTTTTTAAAACTTTATTTATTTTTGGGACAGAGAGAGACAGAGCATGAACGGGGGAGGGGCAGAGAGAGAGGGAGACACAGAATCGGAAACAGGCTCCAGGCTCCGAGCCATCAGCCCAGAGCCCGACGCGGGGCTCGAACTCACGGACCGCGAGATCGTGACCTGGCTGAAGTCGGACGCTTAACCGACTGCGCCACCCAGGCGCCCCATGGAAGTAGAATGGTTTTAAAGCATTGAAGGCACAGCTTTGTCATTTATTTATTTAATACTTAAAAATAATTTGAGGGGCGCCTGGGTGGCGCAGTCGGTTAAGCGTCC